ATTACACTGTAACAAGGACACCTTAAAATAAAGTGTAACCTATAAATGTATTTACTGTCACTTTTGACCAATTTAATGCATTATTTCTGAGAATTTTCAGTTTGTCTGTTTTATTTGCTACAACTATTAATACAAAACGATGGCAAAACATCCATGGACATTCATGCAAACTGAAAAAAAAATAAAATAACTTGGTGCTGGAAGTACCGTTTAGTAAGAATTACATTTCTGTTGTGTTGTTTGCATTAGCTTGTTGTCCTAGTTTAAGAATGTATCCAATTTACTCTTGCTTGTGGTTGCAGACAATAAAAGCTACCATTGTTGATATTTTGCTGTAGACATTTTCCTGTTGGCTCAATGAAATTTTTGTTATTTCTGTCATCCCACACAGTGCCAGTTGGATCCACAGCTGTGAACACTTCCAGATTGGGCCACAAGATTCACACCTGGAGCTAATCAAAAGCTCCATGTGATGTTGACCCGGATACAGCACCAAAAACACACTTCTGTGCATGTGCCTCCACCGAGACTGACTGAGACTCACACACGTACAAGCTGCACTCGTTATGGGTGATAAACCAAAAGCTACAATACAATGTGTGAAGAGAAAACCACTGATGGAGAGAAAAACTGGATAATGCATAAGAAGTGTCAAGACACAACTCCTGTACACTTCTTGTACACACAGCAAGCACTACAGCTAAGGCATTCATACCCTCAGAGAGAGTCGTACGCCAAGGTGGGAGCAAACACAACAGAGATGGTTTGAAATATAGTGGATTTGTTGGCGGATCTGGAGAGCAGACAACACCCTAGCATATTAAAGCCATAAATATTTAAGGAGATGTCTGAGGTTTGAGCCAGAAGGAAGCCGCTCTCAGCTGATATCAGCACATTTAGCTCAAGTCGTTTTATTTAGGGCTTCTTTCTTGACACGTTTCTCTGTATAAATGGCTTGCATATGTGTAAGTATGTGCCTGCAGCCCAAAGTCTGGAGTGTCAGGATTCATCTCTCCATGCATTGAGGATGAGACATTTCTAGAACATTCTATGTTCCTGGAGCTGGTTTTTATAGGTATGATGCTTGTTTTGGTGGAGCTGGACCTTGTGATGTTGACTTCTTTTAAGTGCTTCTCCTCAATCATAGCCGAGCTCCACTTGCCCCATCATTTTAATGAATGACAGCTTCCTCAACTCAATTTAACTATGGCTTTAAGCACCTCCTCTTGCACCCATAAGTAGAAAAGTCAGCATTATGAGGCCAAATGCTGTAGCCACAGCCTGGAACATGCGGTATTTCTATATAGGCACAGCTTGGTTCCTCGGTTCTTTCATTAATCATACTTTGTATTTGAAAAGCTCAGCGGTGCTTCTGGCTCCAGTGGTCTAAATGGTTCTGTTATCTCTATTGCCTCACATAGCTCTGCTGGGCATAGCCATTTTCTAATACTGCAATATAAATGCATTACAATCACCAACCTATGGACCATTGAGGGCCTCCCTCATAAAACAATGAAGATTTGGCTCATAATATTTTTCTCATTCTTCTGCTATTTTCCTATGCATCTAGCCAGAGCAGTTGATGTCTCATTTTTGCCAAGACAAGCACATTAGAGGAGCCATGAAACAGTAGGAGCTCTTGGATTGCTGGCTAATGATCAAAAACAAAACCTAGGCCACTATGACCCCTGTTTTGTCATAAGATATGCATTAAAGAAATGCAACAAGTAACTTAATCAGTGATACCTCTTGACACTTGTGTGCACTGTTAACCACAGATTTTAAGCAGGTTTAGGGATATCAATCAAGTAGTAATTTCAAATCAATTACATATGACTAATCATTATTCAAATTAATAATTTCATCCCATGTTAATATTTCACATCAATATATAAACATCAATATTTGAAAAAGAAAATACTTAAATTATTGTAATTGAAAGACATTATTGTTGCAGAAAAAACTGCTAAATAGACATTAGAAAAACTGGCCTTAGAAATCAATAAAACTGATTTTTTTTTTAAATACAATTGTTTTACATTTCTTTTGTAACTATTCTATGTTCCATGTGTACAAATATTTGGACTTTCATTATTAAATACATTTTATTGTACGACGTTTTTTTTTATTACCTTGTTAAATTAATAGCATAATTATTAACAGTGTATTGCTAGTGTGAAATCAGTTTGTCTGTAGATTAAAAGCTTATGTAACCAAAACGTACTAAACTTAGTAGAAAAGCTGGGACTCCAAATCCAGTACGCTTTTGTCACATGCCTTTATTGGACACCAGACCGGACTTGTGCCGAGTTGCGGTAGATGAGCATAGCAGATACTTATAACTATAGCAATGTGAACTTCTCTACTGCAAGTGCAGTACTGTAAAGAGTCAATGAGGTGCAGAACTAAATTTGCCAGCTTACTAGCCAAAGCTCCAGCTCAGCATAACCATTTCTGAAACTCATCTGGCACAGTCTCTGCATGCAAACTGGACTTGAAACAATGCTCCATAGCTACACTCTCAGAAAAAAAGGTACAAAAGCTGTCACTGGTGCTGTACCTTTTCAAAAGGCACACTTTTGTACCTAAAGAGTCTATATTGGTACCTTAAAGGTACATATTAGTACCTAAAATGTACATATTAGTACTTAAAAGGTACAAAAGTGTACCTTTTGAAAAGGTACTGCCCCAGTGACAGCTTTTGTACCTTTTTTTATGAGAGTGTATGTGTACAGCCTGTGGGGATTTAAGCTTGGAAAGATAGAGTCTGCTGAACCTAATGTTCAAAGGCTATTATAGTAAAGTCAGTCTTGGTAAATGAATTCATGCTGAACCTGAAAAAGCTTGACTAGAGTCAGGTAACAGGTTGAATGGGGTCACATCATGATTGCACTAATCCACTGCTGAGTGGAATACAATTGCACTATTTGTGAATTGGTTGGAATAGCACCTAATAGCAATCACAAATAAAACTTTTTTTTTTATTTTTATAATTTGTCTCATTCAGGCACGCACCTTTATCCTAGCACAAATACTGAGTCTTGAAGAATTCGGGAAGGAAGCCCAAACCCACAGACATTCAGCCATAATTTATAGAGCTGAGTCTAAATACTTTCACTCAGGCATTCTCAGCTATTTCCTACAGAAGCTGCCCACATGAAAGAATTTGAGTCCTTAGAGCCTGTAAAGTCAACGGACTCTAAAATAGCCTCTACCAACACATGCTATGTAGTATTAGATGCAGACCTGAGGGTTGACAAGGTTAGTTACACTCTAGCCATAGGGGAGAGACCTCTAGTAGAAAGTAAACTTAGAGTAAGACGATACAAATAGAGAGGCTATAGGTAAATTATTCCCCCATTTGCTCTCAATTTACAATATACTACTATTGAAAAGTTTGGAGTCAGTAAGATTTTTTATTTGAAAGCAATTAATAGTTTTATTCAGCAAGGATGCATTAAATTGATCAAAAGTGACAGTCAAGACTTTTCTAATATTACAAAATATTTATATTTCAAATAAATGCTGTTCTTTCGATTTTCTATTGATCAAAGAATCCTGAGAAAAATATGCTGGTTTATCCCGATATTAAGCAGCTATTAAGCAACTGTTTTCAACATTGATAATAAAAAGAAATGAGCACATTAGCATATTAGAAATAAGCATATTAGAATTATTTTTAAGAATCATGTGACACTGAAGACTGAAGTAATGGCTGCTGAAAATTCAGCTTTACCATCACAGAATAAATTACATTCTAAAATAGATAGCAGTTATAATTTGTAATGATATTTCATAATATATTACTGTTTTTACTTTATCTTTGATCAAAGATATACAATATATGATTTCTTTCAAAAACATTAAAATAAAATCACAGTGTACACATTTACTAGTAACTTCTTGTTATGGCTTAATTTTCACAACTATCCTGGAGGTCACATCCCATAAAAGTTTGTTTATTTAACAGACACTTTTAATCCAAGTCAAATACTGTGTAAAAATAGGCCCCTTTTACACCTGACATTTGTGTCAAATCCAGATAGTATCTGGATATTTTAGCCCAATTGCATTAACACCTTCATTCCAATGCATTTTCAGTGTGACTGGATTGCACAATTCAAAACTGGATCTTTCAAAATGTCTTTGCAAACTCCCTAGTAATGGATGTTAATGGGGCTAGAATTGAATAAATGGGAAGAAAAGGTTGTAAAGCGCTCTCTTTGGCGAGAATACAATAATACAATAACATAATTTGAATCAGGTCAGAAAATCGCAAGAGTGTGGTGTCTTTTGTCTTTTTCACACAGCAAGAGCAGCATAATTAAAAGAACTTGCACCATGGGACTTGAACGACTCAGTCTGTCAAAGTGACATGTTTATTTATAGCATAATCTCATTTATTACTTGCGTAGCTGAATGTGGATAGTGAAAACATGTTTGTATTTACGTCTAAATTAAATGTGGTTAAAATCTGTCCCAGACATCTATGAATGTAGTTCAGTGATCAGATCACAATCCAGTTAAACTGTGTTTTGGGTGTATTTATATTTGGCGATCCAAATGTGAGCCAGGTGTAAAAACACCTGATTACGCTTAAGGAACCAGCACTTTTAGAGCATTTGTAAACATTTTGGTTGAGAATTAGGGATTCAAGTTCTTACAGAAGAGTTGTGTCTCTTTTTTGAAAATTTTGATGAACTCTGACTGAGCTGATTTGGTGGAATTTGGAAGATCATTCAACTACCAAGGGACAAGAAGTATTTGCATATAAATCCTAGCTACGGTCAGCTGTATGCACTATTTTATTTGCTGCTTTCAAGCATCACCAAGGGAATGAGCTGCACTTGTAGGCCAGACAAATTTCCTTCACATTCACCATTCAACTCTCTAGTGCCTCACATCTACAGGAAATGCTGAGGTGATTGGAAAGAAATTAACTGTGAGCGGCCAGTTGTGTTTCCTGAGAGATTCAATCTCTTCATGGTATTGCTGAGTTTGTAACCAATAAGAACAGGGAATATGGCATTTTATACCAGAGTACTAACTGTTGTAATATGTAGTAAACCAAACGTATTACCTGTGAACCGTTTCTTTCCAGCCACATCAAACTCAGAGGAAGGGGTGCTGTTAAAAGGCCGTGTCTCAGGAGTTGGAGGCTCTGTTGTAGGAGACTCTGTTGTGGGAACCAGTGTTGTGGTAGGAAGTGGGACTGGGGTTGTGGTAGTCTCCTCAAAAAGTCCATCTGTAAGATAGAGTAGCGGTCAAAGACAGGAAGAATAAAAGTTCACAGGATGCTGTATCCCACCTCACTGTGGCCCAAAGAGTGTTTGCACTCTCATGTCACATTTAAAAATGTATTAACGCCTTTGTATTATATAACAAATTTGAAGCCAAGTGGCATTTATTTGAAAGAAATGCCCATTAAGTGGGATTTAAGTGTCCAAAACTGCCCAATTACTTTTTTAGGTCCACTGTACATGCAACTTTATTTAACATTGCTTTAAAAGTTAATGCTATTGCTCTGTTATAGTAGTGAAAATGTGACCAAACTATTCTTTCTTGCCCAAGGATTCCTGTCACAACAAGAAAATTACTAGGCCAAATAATGATGAAAACTGTATGCAAACAAGCTTGTCCCTAAATGCAGGCCACATTAACTGTCCTGTATTCAACAAACCAGCAGAATTACATAACAACAAGGTCTAGTTGTTATTCCAGAAAGGTCATCCAAGTTTGTGCACACTGAATCATACAACTCTCCACTTTGCAACCTATAAAGACAATTTGTATGGAAAAATTAAGAATAAAAAGCAGGAATGCACCCCCTTGAATAAAAGCAAACAAATGGCATCTATAAAGTTTAATAGATTAATAGAGAAATTGAGTACAAATGGCCATACAAAAATGCAAAAGTTAAAACAATCTGCTTATAGCTTGGCAGCCAGTAAACAAAGAAATCAGCCAACACCATCTTCATTAATAACAGCATCATCAGATGCCATGCTGACCATAACCATAACACATCTCTGAACTGTGTTTTCTTAGGGAAGCTGGAAACCAGAGGAATCCTCTTCTCAAGTGGTACTAATAAATCATTGATTTTGGCTCAATTTCATTTGGATTGGTGGACTCGGTCTGTGGCAATTAACAAATCTACATCAACAATTAGCATTTAGCCCACATTCAGATAGAAATGTAGCATTACCTTTAAGAATTAGAGGTATTCACAGAATTAGAGGTATTCAGAGGTATTCAGGTATAGAGGAAATGTGAATTAGGTATTCACATTTCACATATCTTTTTCCTCTGACTGCTGCCCACTCTTAAATAAAGCAATTATTGCCAGGTCCACGATTTTCTAGACAAAAACACCAAATAACAGCTGAGATGTGCAACCACATTAAAGCCCAGTTCCAGGGGTTCTCAAACCTCTCCATGAAGTACCCCCAGCACTGCACGTTTTGCATGTCTCCCTATAGCTGACACCCACTTCAGGTCTTGCAGTCTCCACTAATGAGCTGATGAGTTGAATCAGATGTGATAGATGAGGGAGATACAAAATGTGCAGGGCAGGGGATACTCCAGGACAGGTTTGAGAACCACTGCACTAAGTTAACCCTCAGTGTTAATCCTAAAGGTGATGTTTGTAATTTTTTCAGTGATCAAATATTTTCTCCTGTCCCGACTTAAGTGGAGAAAACTGTAAGACATTTGTAGGTTGATTTCCCCCCCAAAAGTGTAAACACTTCCTGACTAACACGACTGACTAACATTTTTATATATTTATATATTTAAAATTTAGATGCAAAATTTAGATGTGAAAATTTATATATTTAAAATTTAGATGCAACACAATGTGAATTTAAAGTCAGCATGAAATGCAAATTCACTCTATCTATTTTGTAAATGCATGTTATGGATCTGTGCCCTTCCACAACTAACAAGAAAGCTCACATTAATTTTTTAGTGTAATTCCCACATCTCAAAATCCAATCAACAACTGATGGATAGAACCAAAACCCTATTTTTTTTTTCAATAATTCAGATGGAAAATTCTGCCACTAGCTCACCAAACAGAAATGCAAAAATAGTTCGAAATAATTATTTTACTGGTCAGACAAACAGAAAATCCCTTGCTAAAATGAAGCACTGGTTGGGACAATGTTTCTATGTCGTGTTAGTCCGGATGCTCAAACAAAAGCACCAAGTGTTTATACTTGTTTGGGGGGAAATCAACCAACAAATGTCTTACAGTTTTCTCCACATATTAAGTCAGGATAGGAGGCAATTGTTACTTTATTTAAGAGTAGGCAGCAGTAAGAGGAAAATTATTTTTCTACAGTTTCTCCAAAAAAGCATCCTGTTCACAGGCAGATTCAAAGCATAGCAGAGGTTATTCAGGCATAACAAGGGGATATCCTTTGAGGTTTACTGTGTACATCCTAACTAACATCATCCTTGGAATACTGATTCTAAATTACAGAGGATCAAGTCTTGTGGGTACTAACTACATGCCTGTGACAATACTCGTTATACAAGAGCCAACTATAGTCACAAACTGGGCCAAACACATTTCTGTCTGATCTTAAGAGTATCTTTTCCATCATTTTTGTTTTGACGCACATTACCAAATCCACATCATATTATTTAATTATCTTGTATGAAACACATTTGAGTTAAATATGGCTGCAAAGAGTTCATCTCACCTTCAGAGTAGCAGTTAAGTATTCCATCAGCATTCAATATTGGGAAACCATTCTTGTCCAGTCGAGAATAAAGTCCAGGTGGACATGTAGGTGCAGCAGCTAATGTTGACTGCTCCAATGTTTCTGTTACCATTTCTGTTGTTGTAGGTTCTGGTGTTGTACTTGTGGTTGTAGTGGTTGTTGTAGTCCTTGGTTTAGGGCGGTCCAAGCCCACGATGGGTTTTCCTCCCACAGTAAGGTACTTGTCACTTGGATTAATCACAGGCCGACTGTCTCTTCCATGACCAAATAATGCTAATCCTTCCTGGTTTACCAGTGGGCTGCCCTGGTCATCTAATATAGCAAACATAGGTCCGTTTAAAACGGGCTTCTTCTTTCTATATTTCTATGAAGTTAAAATTGTAAGCCACTCACCAAAAATAGTCTTGCCATCCTCTCCAAGGACAACTTTTCTGGGTCTTCCCCTTGAGTCCTGAAGGACTCTTCCGTTTTCATTCATTAGGACACCCTTATCCAGATCTACTATCTAAAAGAGTGAATAGAACTTTATTAAAGAAGAAGAATCTTTCTTTCAAAACAAAATGAGACAAAAGTCAAACAGCCTTGCTTGAATAAGTGCCCCTAAGGTCCCTGCTTGTGGAGTTTCCATGCATGCCTAGAGAGACAAAACTGTTCACATGACTATCTTTGCTTACTTTAAAGATAATTCTGTTTGGACTGCTGTACTGCCTGATTTATTAATGTATCCAGACAACAGATGTAACAGAAGCCATGGATATGGACAGTATGATCACAGTATCTTGTACATAACAGATCTAATTTACATGTTTAACAAAATGAAATGAAAGTCATTGATGAAACCAGAGGGTACAAACCTGCTATGGGTAAAAAGTTCACTTTACGCTACATCTTTCGTAGTTTAGAAATTAGAACAAGAAACGAAGTGTATAAATTAAGTTTGCCAGTAGTAAATAAACTAATAGCATTTATAAAACATCTTAATGGATTTAGGGACATTCAGGACTGCCAAATATAGCAATAATTAACACTGCAAATAAACACACCCATTTTGTTCCATCAGGACCTGTGATATGTCGGACTCCGTTTGGTTTCGAATTTTCTTCAGATGTTGAGGATACTTTGCCATTTGCAGCTGTGAGATTCGGCCATCCGTTTTTGCCTGAACATGGAATTAGAGAATTGAGTAAAAGTATACTTATGCACACACTGAAATTGTTATACGTACAGCATGCACATCCTTGCAGACAACATAATGCTTACCTTTTTCATAACTAGGTTTGTAGCCATTGACAAGAGTGTTTTCCTTTGAAATTGACCGCAGCCTCGATCCCATCACTGGATTTCGAGACTCAGGAGATAAATTCCCTCTAGAGCTTTCACCAGCAGACAGCCCATGGGAAGAGCGAGAAACTGAACTTGGGGTGAGCCTAACATTAGTATTACTCCTGTCAGCTGTGTCCCGATCTGAGATAAGTGGTGATTCTGCTGGACTATTTTGAGAGGAGGCAGATGATGATGCTGAAGAGGAGTGTGATGAAGATGATGAAGAGCCCGGTGTGGAAACAGAGCCCAGTCTTCTGTGTTGTACTGGATACACCCTACCAGGGAACCGTGAACCTTTCAGACGGCTTGCTACCACAGGTGAACGGACCTGACCATTAGAAGCCAAAATAGGGACTTTTTGGGCAACTGAAGGAATTGACTTTGAACTGGTACTGGTACTGGTACTACTTTGTTCCCTATCCACACTTTCATTCTCAAAGTTCTGGACAGGTCTGTGAGGTTCACTCACAGTTGTTGTTGTTTTAGGTGCAGCAGTTGAGGTGGCATCTTTGCTTTGCCTGTCCAAGGTCTCTCTGCTTCCCTCGTAAAGATAATCATCTTCATGATCTTTGTTAATTTTTACATCTTCATTATTACTGGGATTGTTGTAATTTATTGCAACATTTGTTTCTTTATTTAGCACACTAGGTTTATTTGAGACAGGATTAACCTCATGCTTTGAAGGGTATGTTGTGGGTGAAATTTGAGTTTTATTGCTAGTGTCTTGAGAGCTCACAGCAGTAGAACGAGAAGGAAATCCTGTAATAATTGGCCTTCCTGCACCTATAGATGAGGCAGTCCTACTCCACGGTATTCTCCCATCTTGTCTGCGACTCCCTGAAACTATCCTAGAATTTCGGTTTGGTAATGAAAGGGGTGAACTTCTTCCTTTTGTAGAAGGGGTAGTCCTTGAAGAAGAATGGGAAGTGGAACCATAACTATTGCTTTTCTCTTCTTTGTTATCATAATTTTCCTTTTGTTCTGGGTGTTCCTCTTCAGTTGTATCAGAAAAGTTTTTTTTTGTTTCTTCAGTTGGTTGTTCACCCTTTGTGTCATCTAGCTCCGTGTTCTTGTGGTTGGTATCATGCTCCTCTGTTGTATCGTGACTGTTTGTCCTGGTTCCCATTGGCAGTGTGGACTGTGAAGAAGCAGATGTTGATGATGAATCAAGTTTGTGCTCTCCTGTTTGAAGTCTCTGAGCTCTAGTTGAAATTCCAACTCTTCTTCCATTAGGGTACATGGCACCAGATCCTGAACTTGTGACTCGACCTGAAGTGGAGGAAATCCTTCTTGCACCTGATGATGATGATGGTGAGGATGATGAAGGAGAAGATCCTGAAGAAGATGAGGTGGAAGAAGAAGATGATGAAGATGATGCGGAGTAGGAGGAAGCGGATGTTGGAGAAGAAGAGATGGATGAGGATGATTCTGATTTTTTCACTGGTTCAGGCATGGTTTCCTGAGGTGAGATCACTGAAGGTGTCCTGTCTGTGACACTTATCTGGCTGTACGAGTTCTTTCCCTCAGGATAGGAGACTGCTGTTAGGTCCTTTCTTATAGTTGCAGACTCTTGGTTTTGCGACAAATTGGAAGAATCTTCACTCCGCATTCTTGATCGAGAATTAGGCCTTCTTAATCTGCTAATATCAACAACTGAGGATGTGCGAGGGGTCCAAGAAGGACGTTTGTCCTCAGATGTTTTATGGACAGATTCAGACTGATTGGGATTTGATTCTTTAGTGTCAGGTGAGTATTTTGAAGGCTCCTCTGTTTGTGGTGATGCATTATTACTGCTCTCTGGTTTTGTGTCCTCAATAGCCTCATTTGCTCTGATTTCCTCTTCTATTGGACTGTCTGTTGGCTTCTCTTCCTCATTTGTATTGCCTTCTCTATCTTTGGCATGAGTGGAGGATGAATGTGAGTTTGACCTTGAGCTAGAACCTCCGTTTCTGACAGAACCCCTCACAGAGGAGAAGATGCTGTGATAGGACCTTGTTTGAGAAAGAGGGCGTCCTCGTCTATTGGTGGGTGGCGCTTGAGTTGTGGTCTGAGTATCGGACTCTTCCATCTCATCTGGCTCCTGATTGTCTGATTCTTTGTTTGATGATGTCTTGGAGGCACTTTGACTTGTCTTGTGGCTGTCTGTGTTCCTTAAGTGAGTAGAGCTGGCTGGAGACAAAAATTAAGATACCACTCTTAACCAAGTTTCTGTAAAGCTGCTGAAGTTTATTGGGGTAAACATCTGTTGGGAATACTTACATGCAGGCATTGCAACAATGATGGCTTTAGTCTGTGGTCCTTGGCCCTTCCTATTGACTCCACGGATTTTGAAGATATAGCGGTCACCTGGCATAAGTCCATCTATGGTAGCAGAGGTGGTGGTGCCACGGTATATAACTGACTTTGAGCCAAACGGTTTCATAGCAGGAGCATAGGAAAGGATGTATTCTGGAAGTAGATGTCAAATTAATCAGTACGGTCAATTTCATAGCTGAATATTTTCCAATGAACACTGGGAATACCCAAGATTGAACCAATAAATCTAGGCCAAGGATAACACACTAAAAAGGAAAGTTCCTTCTGCGTGAACAGGGAACAGTTTATGTTTTCCACATGTACATTTGTGTTGGTTTAGCTTTACAGACTGGTGCTCTGCATGCCTGCTGGAGAAATTGTAATGCTGAAGGCTTATCATTCCCATATATTTTGGCATTGCACACAGATAAGTGGTTTCATGGAAGACATATGGTGAACTATTAGTAATGTTTTACTCTCCAGATGCCAAAGTCGTTTTCTGTTCTTTATGTAAGGCAAATTCCAAAAGTCATAGAAAGAACTGACAGATACCTGTATAAAATATTATCAGTGTTAAAATACTTTTTCCTATCACAGCAAAATATGCAGATACAACTACAATAAGGCAAGAGTAATGTTAGGTGCATTATTTAATAAACAAATATTTCTTCCTATGGTCAATATGGATCTCATTGAATTGACAGCCTACCTACCCTGTGGTCTTACCTCTTATTCGCCCATTTGTTTGCTCAGGTGGATCCCAGGTTACGGTGACAGCAGTACCTTTTCCTCTAAGTGGTTTTACTTGAAAATTTTCTGGGGGGCCAGAAGGAGCTGCATAGACAAAGATGGGTAAAAGTAAAGCTAGGACTGACAATCAAATTATTATACAAATAATATGAAGCACTGTGTATTCTCGTAAACTTTACTTAATTTTTTTCTGCCTTGAGATTTTTCAGATGGAAACAAAAGACAGTTTATGTTTTCCATGGGAATGAGGTCATTCTGATCAATCCAAAGAAAAATTCCAAATAGACAGCAAACAGAGACATTACACTGAACTAGGCAGTTAGAACATGCTTACATGGTTTCAAAAACCATGATTGTTTTGAGTGTTTGTGCATTTGTATGGGTGTACAACACAATTCAAACACCCTTTTGTTTATCCTTCATTAGCTAGTATATTATCAGACATGCAATAAAAGAGCAGATTGTAATTAAATAAACTTCAGTCTAAATAAGTTTAAATGTTTTAAACCATATTAAAGGGGAAAAAAACCTTCTAGTTAGTGTTGTTTTCGTCAACGAAAATTATGACTAAATATCGTCGTCAACGAACCTTTATCACGTGACGAAAACGAGACGAGACGTAACATAAATGCTGGTCATGTGACGATGACTATAATTAAATGTATAATGCAATATTGTTGACGAATAAAAACGAGACTAAATGGTCTCTTCATTTTCGTTGACCAAAACGAGACGAAACGAAATGTTATAACGTTATTTCGTCTCGTTTAGCCGCGTTATTATTATTATTTTGCAGTATTTCTGTTTCCTGTGTCTCACGCAGACGCAGGCGACGTCACTTCCTCAAGCCCCACTCGCGGCATTATTTAGA